TCTTTATATTCGTCTGTAGGTGATATGTCGAGGGCATGACGTGTCACGACCTGGCCTTGATGCTTGACTTAACGAGGCAAGAACAAAAGTCGGATAGTAGGATTAAATCATTTTAATTCATAAGCAATACAACATAAAATTTTCACCATTTAACTAAAGAGCCACTAACAATTTCTCAAACACTTAACATTTGCATAAATTATAAATTTCATGTTTTCAATGTTGCGTCATCTTCTATAGACGAACTCATCCCTTTCTGCCATTTCTAAATTTCTGAAGACTTATCTAAAACATTGTTTAATGGAATGAGTTTACAAGGTAAACTTACTGGATAATTATTGACAATTATAAAATAGTAAAAATAGATATATTGATATAATAAATACAACTTTTTTCTCGTAATATCAATCGATACACATACATCTTTCATGCATTATAAATCTTATAATGCCACATAAGTCATTTTCTTGGTATTCATTTATAACCACTATTTCTATTTTAATAATTCTTTTAATAGATTTGACATTCAATTCCTTACTATATCAATTTTCTCATTTTCATTTACAGGAGCACCATCTAAATGTACCAATTGAGGTTCAACCATTTTAATTTCATTTTCTTTTCCTTTTCCCTTTCCTTTTTATTTTTAACGTGCGTGGGTACATTGCTTCCCCAGCCAATACCATATGGGTGTGAACTCCTGTAATTTGCAATACTTTTTCCTTATTATAATATATATAACTTTTATCAACTTTCTCAATAACATCTACCTAATTGATTCTTACCTCAGCCTCAAATTTTCGTTCTTGTTGAATTCCTTGAAGAACCCAACTTCTACAACTTGATCTCTTCCTTTCTAAAATCCCTAAATCCATACAATATCTTTCATGAAAATGTGATTAAATAACAAAATTTAAATAAAGTTATACCATAGAGAATTCACTTACAAATGGGACTTTTCTCAAAATCCCTAAATCTTTCTTCCTCTCTCAAACTTCTTTCTCTTTGCTTTCAATCCCTTCCCTTTCTCTTTATGAAATACCAATTGTTTTAGATGAAGTAAAACAAGGAAATTTATACAAAAATGTAAAGAAAAATTCAACCTTCTTCCCTCTTCCTCTCGGTTTTTCTTCTCGTCCACAGAATTTTTTTCCAAATTTATCACTTCTTTAGCGATAGAAAAGAAGAGTTGTTGATTCTTATCTTCTGAAAAATTATCTACGGTGTTTTGTATCAGAAATATCAAAATTACGGTCGAGATGGTTAGCTTGAGTAGAGTATTAGTACAATACTTCTTATCATGCAGCAGCTCAGACGACACTATTCAAAATCTTGTATAGTAGAGATCCTCCCCATTTGATATATTATGGGCAGGACAACTGATGCAATCAAGGATTATCATTATATATTTTATTTTTCTATGTTTTGGACTCTGTTATTTGGATTCTATGTTTTTTTTTTTTTTTTTTTTTTTTTTTTTTTTTTTAATTTTGGTTATCCTATGATGGAAATAAACTGATGATCATACTAGGTTGGTGCTCTTAGGAATGTCTCTCCCTATCCTTCACCTTGTTCCTTTGGTTTTTCCCTTGGTGGGCTGCTGGTTTGTCCCCTCGTGGGCCTTGTTTTCCTCTGTTTTTCCCCTTGGTAGCTGTCCCCTCGGTTTGGGCAGCTATTCCTTCGATTTTTGTGTCCATTAGCTGCTGTATTAATGCCTTATTTTCCCTAGATATTGTCCCCTCGGTTTGGGCAGCTCTCCCTTCGATTTTTGTGCCCATTAGCTTTTGTATTAATACATTTTTTCCCCTAGCTACTGTCCCCTCGGTTTGGGCAGTTGTCCATTCGGTTTTTCTGCCCATTAGCTGTTGTATTTATGCCTTGTTTTCCCCTAGCTGTTGTCCCTTCAGTCCTCATTTACTGCAGTTTTCAAGAGAATTCTAGTGACTATTTGGGTGTTGCTTTAATTACCTTGCATTAAATGTTTTTTTTTTCCTTTTCCCCCCTATATAAAGTGGTTGTTTTCCTGCAGTTAGAGATAGTTTTGGTAAAGAATTGCATATAAACCTGCGGGTTTTTTAGCTTGCAAGCTAGCTTCCTTTCCCCTTCCCCTCTATTACTTCATATCAATCTTCTACATCTTCTTCTCTATCCACGGTTTCTGCCCCATTTGTATCAGTTTGGTGGTGTTTGCTTCCATGTTGTGGTTGTTATTTGCTGGAGGAGTGTGGACTTGTGCCAGATCATTTCAATGGTGGATTCCGAGTTAGATCTATCCTTTGAGCACCTATCCTTTATATTTTGAGCTTTGCATGTGAGGTGACGTTTGTCGGTTGTTCTGAGGGATAGCCTTGTTGTTGTTTCTTTATGTTTACTGATTTTATAAGCTGGTTTCTAGAACTTGTTTCTATTTTTAGATTTTTTTTTGCTTTACCGAATGGAAGAAGTTTTCTAATTTCTTTCCTAAGTGTTTTCTATCAAATATTTAGAAACCTACATCAATATCCTTAGTAGAGTATTATTTGAAAGAAAGAGATGAGATATTAGCAGAATTAAAAGGGCACCTATTTAGAGCTTAACATGTCATGAAAAGACAAGCATATGCACACATGAGAGATGTACAATTTGATGTCGGGAATATGGTGTATTTGAAGCTCCGACTGTATAGACAAAATATTGTAGCAAGAAAAAAGAATGAAAAACTTTATCCTTCGTATTTTGGGCCCTATGAAATAGTTGAACGCATCGGCACAATGGCTTATCATTTGTACTTGCTACCCAACACAGTTATTCATCTAGTATTTCACGTATCACAGCTGCGACGAGCAATTGGAAAACACACGCCATCCTCAACATTATCGGTCACATTGACAAATGACATGGGAGTGATTTTGGATCTCATGGAAGTAGTACTGGTGCGACTGGGCGATACTGCGGCGAAGGAGGTATTAATTAGGTGGAGGAATTTGCCAAAATACGAGGCCCACACTATCACACAATTCGAAAGCAGTTTTCTTCATTCCAACTTGAGGATAAGGTGGATCTTTGGGGGGGAGGAGTATTGATAGACTGGCGGTTGAGCCATTGGACCCCACTAGGTAGGCGAAAAGAGAGAGAGGCTCAAAGGGAAATAATTCCATATTTAATTACTTACAACAACAACAACAACATCAAGCCTTTATCCCACTACAAAAATTAAAATTAGGAGGGAATTATTTAAGTTTATTTAGGGAATGGGGGCTGCTTTAGATTCATATTTGAGAGGGAATTATGAAAGATTTATTTAGCGAAGGATGAATGATTTTAATTCAGATTTGGGAGGGAATTAGGAAGGTTTTATTTAGGTAAAGAAGGCTAATTTGAATTCAAATTTGAAAGTGAAATATGAATGTTTATTTACCGGTAATTAGGTTGTTTTATCAATTACCCATTCTTGAATCATAACAATTTTGACACCATCTGTATTCAATCTGTTCATCCCCTCGTTCTAATTTGAGCTCTAACCCCAGCTCAAAACTTCTGCATTTTGCTCATATTGTTTTACCTTCCGAACAAATTTGTTTGTCCTAATAGAATGCTTACATATTGCTTTTACTTGTAGAAACAAAGGTAAGCCTGGTTATGTTCAAACGAAGATCATCATTGAGTTTTTTTCTCTTTTCTATTGTTTTAAATTGCATTTCTACGTTTCATATGAATTATTTGTTTTACCCAGCTATTAAAGTCTCTCCAGTTGTTGTTTTGACTAAGTTCTTCCTCACTGCTAATAGAAACATTAACACCACGTAGGCTGCACTATCATAGGACAAAAACTTGAGGGATGACTCATCTATTGCAATTAAGGCTTCATTTTGAACAGCTTTTTTATTGTTTTCTAAATAGCTTTTTATTACAGAAGTTTTTAGTTTAAAAAAATTTTGTTCTAAAAAATTGTCTTAAAAACACTAAGAAAGTCAGCCCAAACAGGCTTAAATTTAATGAAATAATATGATTTTGATTTGCACAATACGACTATAATTCAGAGATTTCTCATAAGTTTTATGACAAAATAATAAAACATTAAGACATATAATCATTATAATAGATGCTTATTGAAGGCTAAACAAAAATTTTCTGATACATACAGTAATTTAATAGGCATTATAAATTCATGAATATATGTACTGTAAAATCATTGAAAAAACAGTCAACTACTAAAGATAAAATTTTTAGATATTCTATGCCATGTGTCATATGTTTTCATATCATGATTTAGTTTTTTAAGCCATCCCCTCATAAATTGAGTTAGGATATTCTGATCCTTTTTTTCATATAATATGACTCATTAGACTATTAATTGATGGTTAAGATACATTTCATTGTTGCAATGAAAAAGGTTCAATATTTGTAGCATTGAATTGATAATTAATTTGTCTTCTTTGAATTAAGGTTTATATGCCCGATGCCCTCTTTCTTAAACTGCATTTAGGTTTCTATACAAATGATTTAATGAGGATTATAAGCATTTGAAAATAAAATACATCCCAAGCAGTTTACATATATGAATTTAAACTGAAAACTCAGCTACAGATGACCACACTCTTTTGATCTCAAGGGGGCCTTGAGCAAGTTTAACACCTGGATAAAAATTAGTAAGTAAAAATATTAACTTTGCCCCCTTGATTTATAACAAGTACGAGTGTGGCCACCCAAGGGTAATATAATGCCAATCACATGAATTCACAGATTACAGTTAAAAAAGCCATCTTGATATGAGAATTAGGCTTCGTTTGAGACAGCTTTTCTGTTGCTTTCTAAAGCAGCATTTGAGTACAAATTTATAGAATAGAATTTTTTGTACCAGAAAGCTGCTTTAGAAATCAGTAAGAAAATCGTCCTAAACGAAGTCTTATAAATGATTCAGATGTACAGATTCTTCTTTTGTCATCCAGCTATGTATGTGCTTATTCATCTTTAATTACCAGCTTGTTACTTGCTGCCATAACATACTTTATGATATGCAGGTTCTGAAGACTTCCTTAAGTAGTTGATTGTTTCAGTTTATGAAGAAGCAGTAGAGCTTTCTACTGCTATCCACTGAAGTTATTTTCAAGAACTTTCTATGATCTGTGTTAGCCAACTGATGTTTGGAGTGTAACACTGACAACTTTCAGTATTGTTTTTAATTGTCAACTTTTTTAACATATCTACTACAATCCTGATTGAATATCAATGATTTGGAAATTTTTATTTTTACTCATTAAATGATCATGCTGTTATTATGTGAATGTTTTTTGAACCAAATCAGAATTTATACAGTAAAATTTTTTTTTTTTTTTGGACAAGTTATCATTAGGGGTTTATTTATATGATTTGGAGACTGATATTATGCAAGTAAATATTAAATATTAAATATTATATATATTTAAATGTTACATGTATAAATAGGTAAAAACTAAACCCTTCAATTTTTTTTGTTAGCTTTATATGATTGAATTTTTCATGCACAGAATTAAGGGTAATAGCTAAACTTTATTTTGAGCTCTCTTACATTGTGTGATTGCTAGGGAGCCTAGGGTTAGGGGTGTGAACTAGTCGTGTCTAGTAGTGGTATTATTGAGCTGAGCTCATTTAGTTAATATTGAGCTTAAACTCAAGCTCGAACTCGACTCATATAAAAATCAAACTCGAGCTCATTTAAAAAGCTCAAGCTTGGCTCAGGCATGGCTCGATTGATTTTTTATGTTTGAATTTTTGTTATCTTAATAAATTCTTAAGAGAAGGGTATATTAAAATATATATATAATATCGAGTAGTTCGAGGAGCGAACGAGTTGTGCAGGATTGAATTTGAACTTGAGCTTACTAATCCTTCGAACTTGAGCTTATTTAGTAAGCGAGCTCGGTTATAAGCTCGTTTAGCTAATACGGAGATCAAACTCATTTAATTAGCTCTAACTCAACTCATGAAATTAAAGCTCGAGCCAAACTCAAGTACTGGAGCTCATTTAAAAAGTTTAAACTTAGCTTTCCTATTTATGACATTCGAATCTTTGTTATCTGAATATATATATATATTAAAATCGAGTAGCTTGAGGAGCTAATGAGTTGAGTAGGATTGAGCTCGAACTCGAGCTTGTTTAGCAAACAAGCTCGGTTATAAGCTCCAACTTGAACTCAAAACTTGATAAACTTGACATGTGAGCTCGTTAGAGGGTTGAGATTGGGCTAGCTTGCGAGCTAGCACGGCACACTCGTAATTAGGATCACATGATATTTGATTTCATAAAAAAATATTAATTCAAAAGATGCATATAACTACGCCAAAAAATCCAAGAGGATTTATGCTCAACCAAAATGTTGCAAGGATTAAAAATGTGTAGGTGAAAAAATTAACATTAATTTTTTTGATTGGAGTTAGAAATTTTTTTCTAGTAGGAACATAAATTAGCTGTTTTTTTCAAAGAAAATTTTTATTATTTATTCAAATATTTTGAAGGGGTCATTAAAATATATTTATATGAGAAAAAAATGGTATATAAAAATATTTTAAAATTTTGGAGGGGTGCATGCTTTTTATACCTCTTGTAAATTCTCCCTAATTGATTAAAATCATAAAATGTATGAAATTAAGGAAATTTAGTGAGACCAAATAAAATAAAAAAAAAATAAAAATAAAGGAATTATAGTGACAATAATAATAGAGATTGATTTTAGAAAATTTTGATGGCCAAAATAATTATATACCAAAATGAAAGTGAAGTTAAAACTCAATAGTCATCATTATGTGTAAATGAGAGGGATTATCATTCTTGTAATAGAAAGAGAGCATCAGCCTTAAAATACAGATTATTTCAATAATAATAAAAACAAGTGAGCAACAGCCTTTCATAAATGACATGATCATCAGGGTCCCTTTGAGATAACTTTTAGTTGCTTTATTTTTCAAACAATTATATTTTTGTTTGGCTTTTATTTTCTTATTGCTTTCTCAAAGTGTATAAAAAATTTCTATAATGAAAAGCCGCTTGCTACCATCATAATAGAAAAATTATTTTCTCTACAGTAATTACACAATTAATTTTATAAAATATTATAGTTATCCCAAATAGACCCTCAATCAATCAATCATGCGTATGATTCAAAATATTCCTCAAAACATCTAATAAAGTTTGTTAAAACTCTCAACTTTAGGGCACTTAACAGAAGGTCAAATTCAAATAAGCCATTAAGTTATTTTTTTTACAGCCTTAATCACAGTAAACAATACAACAGAGCATATAGCATCCCAAATTGGAATCCTGGGCAATGAATCCTTAGCAAGTTGCAGCCCCCTCAATGGAGAAATTATTCTATGGGGACACCGAATGTAGCTCTGTGTCTGAAAGCAAATTAGAGTACGCCATATCACCAGTACATTGCATATACACAACTGCGATACACAGCAAAACAACGGATACACACCCGCGGCACACAATAAAGAGGTGGTGTGGTATGACAGATCCGGTGTCCACACAGAATAATTTAGGTCAATGATACATACTGAAACCTGCATTTTTTTCCATATGGCTCAACTTCTTCATATGATCACAGCAGCTCAAAACACAACATTATCCTTCACATGCATATTGGTAAACACCTTATGTGCAAGACCATAACTTGTTCTCTAAAGAGTTCATTAAAAATGAAAAACAATATTATTGATTCTCATTTCTCCTTCAACATACATGTCATACAGAAGGAATTACAAACCTTCACTTGAGAGAGAGAGAGAGAGAAAGACAGAGAGAGCTAATCCAAACATACAAACTACAACTGTCCCAAATTAACATGGACAAATTATTTTGCAGTGGATGAAGACCAGCAACCTAAAGCGAACTTACAGGAAAACTAATCACACCTTGCAAAAGCACCCTTTTGGAAATCTTGAAAGAACAAACTTAAAGAAGATGATGAAGATGGTTCTGAAACTGATGCTGAGGTATGAATTTTGAATGATTCTGATACATCTTCCTCCATTATCGTGTCCAAGGTGCTTTGAGTCTGCTGTTTTCCATTATTATATCTTAGCTGCCATGGCGCCATCTCAAAGAAGAAAGCTTTAGGTGGCCTGTGGGAGTTGCGTGCGACCTCCATTAAAAAAGAACGAAGCTGCATTCCAGCCATTGGTGAATCTCCCTTCTTACTTTCCAAGAACTTCGTAGTTTAATTGAACAGTAAAGTTGAAATGAACAGTGGAGAAAGGTAGGCTTTATAGAAAATGGGCATACAAATATGCCACGAGAGTTTCAATTTATTACAGGAATGCCTTGCATTGGCGTTTATTCATGCGCGTAGGGATAGTTTAGGGATACAGGGATCCGTTAAATAAGTGGGTGGTGGGCGGTGGCGGGGGCGGCTGCGCCTTGCTGTCTTTCATGTTGCACATACCATTTTAATTTTGAATTTTTTTTATTTTTTAATTTTTAATATTAAAATATTACTTATTAAATATCTTATGCTTTGCTTTAATATTGTTATTGATAATATTAATAATCAAGCTAATTTTCTTGATTATGCATAGATTGAATTCGATGGAGCAATAAGATTTTATTTGAGCAGGCTTTCTTTCTACTTCTTAAAACAGTGTTTTTTATAAAAATTAAAATTTATGTACTAAAAAGCTGCTTTATGAAGCAGTAAAAAGTCATCTCAAACGAAACCTAAATTAGTATTCTAATCAATTATTATTAGGGAATTTCCAAGAGTACCATTTGCAATTTTTTCTAACGAGAACTCGGGTGACATACTTTGCATGATATGTCGGGATCTTTTGAACGAATTGTCTTCACGATTAGTCCATCGAGTTAGCTTGATGGCTTAGTATTAGTTATAATTTAGATGACTTGTCACGATTCTACTCCACATGATGAAAAAAAAATACAATAATGAAAAAATATTGATCTATTTGGGATCTAATGTCAAATGATCGAGACAATTTATCAGAATCACAAATGAACCATTGAATCACAAAGTTAGGATATTCGACCTTCTATGTCTACAGTAGGAGAACTTATTCTGTCCGGACACCGGACCGTCCGAAGGCGAATCAGAGAATGCCACATCACCTGGTACACAGCGGGGACATAGCCTGATACACAACAAAATAGTAACATGACGTGCTCTGATTCGCCTCAGGACGGTGTCCAGTGTCTACAGAGAATACTTTTTCCCACAATAGTATTATTCGAGGAGTTTTTTTTTTTCACTTAAGATACGATGTTAATAAAATAAGAATCAACTCTTTGGGGTTGTTTGGAAGCAGGATTTAGGCCGGATTTGAGGCAGATTTTAGCGAAATCCAGCCAAACGACCTAAAATGCAAAACCAAATCTCACGATAAATGAAATCCGGTATAGACGGAAAATTCCGCTGATTCACTCTCAATCCCGAATTTCGGAAATCCTTTATTTTGCCGAATTTACGAAATCCATGCGCTGGAGGAAGAGTCCCTTGGATAAATCCTGCTCTATAGCCAAACAGTCACATGAGATTTAAGAGGATTTATCATGATTGTTACCAAACAATTTTCAGGATTTAAGCCCCTCAGGATTTCCCAAATCCGAATTTAGAGGATTTATGAAATCCTACTTAAATCAAATCTCCAGTATGCTACCAAACAGCCCCTTTATATTGAGAATCATGATTTTATTTACCCTTGAGTATACTTATTTTATTTCGATTCATCATAAAATAAAATAAAATATCTAATCTCCACACATAACAAATTTTATAAAATGTTAATAATATTTCAAAATATATATGCAAACAAAAAAGAACTTTTAAGATAAGCTTTATCATATTGCCGTCCTTCAAACAAATGGATAATGAGCCAAAGGTGTAGAGATGGCCTCCTTACCTTCCTCATAAGTCACTCAAATACATTAATGAAAAAATAAAATTAATAATTTTATAAATATTATATGTATTATCCATATGAATTTATAGTCCAAAGTAATTAAATGGGCAGCTTATGCTTCTCTCTGTGATTAATTATAGGTGTTTGTGCATTGGCTTGTCTTTGTCTCGCATTACTTTTTCTTATTACCTGACTTGAACGTAATCAGAGGGGGGGCCCTATTTGAGCTTTCTCATATGAGTTTTAGTTGCTTTTTATCTATATGATCATTAAATAATTAAGGGACCAACCCCTCTCTCTCTCTCTCTCTATTAAGACAAATTCACACACATATCACATGTGTAAACTTCGAACCCCTCTCTCTCTCTCTATTAAGACTATCACATACGTAAGCTTCGAACCTAAAACCTTCTGATTAGTAGTCAATGGTCATAACCAATAGACCAACTGAGTTACGGAAGGATATAACAAAGCTACTAAATTTAATTCCAAATAATTTGTTAAATTTTTCATAATTTATTTATATGTTGTTCATTATTCTTTTTTTTTTCATTATAAATATTGAAGTTTTAATCTAAGAGTTCTTTTGGAATGATTGCAAGTTTTTATAAAGATGATTATAAATGAAAAAAATAATAGCCAAATAAAAATAATGATTGTTATCTGAAAAATAATAAAAAACTATTTCGTACTAAGTCTTACATAAAAAGAATTTTGATAACAAATGTGTTCAACCTATATAAAAAAATCAATAATTAAATTTGATTTAAAATTTTGTAGTTAAAATATCAAAAGATATTTTACATTCACTTATCAATGTCATAAAATAAGATTTAAATTAATACTTAGGCAATAGAATTATTAGAACTAGATCATTTTTATTTTTATGAATTATGACTATCATTAATTCTATATAAATTAGTAAATAATGAAATAAAAATTTCATAAAAAATAATAATGATCACAATATTCATAACCAAAAAGTGTTGTATTACTACATCTCAATATGTAATTATATATATATATATATATATATATGTAATTAAGAAGTAATTAACATGTTTTAGTCAGTAATTAGCATAATTTCAAAGCAAGTCACCAACTGAATCTGCCGCCATGCAATCCTCCTAAAAAAGGTGATCTTAAAATTAAATGCTTAAAGTGAAAGATGATTGTGAAATATGCATAAAAAGTGCAAATATTGAATTAGACAGATCATAATTATTTTGGATATATTTATAATTTTTAATTGAAAACTAAAATTTATTTTGAATTTTATGAAAAAAGAATAATATTTTATGATAATGACATCTAACCTTCACTTTATACTTAAGGGCTATTTGAGATAGCTTTCTACCTATTTTACTTTTCAGATAATAATCACAATTTTGTTGACTATTATTTTCTTTCCGCTTATTGGTTTTCAAAAAATTTTGTGATGAAAAGCTATTTTATGCATTCATAATAGAAAATTTATTTCATTTATTTTAGATTCTCTTCTTCTCTTTCATTTATTAAGGCTTTGTTTGGGATAGTTTTATATTACTATTTTTTTCATGTTTTCAAAAAATTTTTATACTAAAAAATAGTTTCACAAAGCAATAAAAAAACTATCTCAAATGAAGCCTTGGGATAACTTTTTTACTGCTTTTTAAAATAATTTTTTAGTATAAAAATTTAAATTTTTTTACTAAAAAACTACTTTTAAGAAGCATTAAGAAACCCTAAACCCTAAACAAAATGCAAGTCTCCTCAAATCATTTCTAATGTTATAAACACTTTCCAAAATCTAGCAAGAAGATTACTCTAATCTTTATTAACGAAGAGTCATTTACTTCGCTACCTGCTTGGAGCAAAAACAATGGAATTGTCCATAAGAATATAGTAAAAATTCTCACTTTTAGAGAATCACTACACATGTTGATGTAGTTTCTGATGGTTATTTTTGCACATGTGCTTCTTCAATTCTAACTATCAAGAAATACCTCAATTCAGTAATCTGTATTTTCTGAGACCCAGAACATATCATAATCCATTTGTCCTCTAAATCAAAGTACTACTCCATTGTGGCAAATGCACAGTTCTTGTTCACTGATTATAAGTTCCTAATTTGCAGTGTAAAACTCAATCCAATTGTATCTTGCAATAATCCAATGGGTATGCATGTTGTGATTCTTTGGTTTTATGTTATGGGGGGAGAGATTAGAGATGAATCAGATAATACAGTAAATTGGTGTGGATGGTCATGGTAGCTTCAATATTGGGTTGCATTTTTAGTTTTAGTTCTGTCACACCTGTCATACAGTTCTCTTTTATTTTCCTTTCATCTACTTGATTGATTATCATTTATCAACATGTGTAGCTTTGGTGTTTATGTTTGAAACACTCAAATGGTAAACTATCACATTTCAAATAAAATGTTCATATGTTGTAGTTTCACTTTGACATGTATGGACAACTGTTCATGTGACACCCTACATTATGCATGAAACAATTATTACCTAACTAAGTGAAAAATCTCGAATATATTTATTGCGTGCTTACAAATTTCCTAAAGCTGTTTAGGCATCCTGAGCTTTCAAAATTAAACAAAATCTTCACTAGTTAGCTTCCAAAACAATGCCAAAAAACCAAGATAGCCATACTCGTGCAGTTGCAACAACAGAAGCAAGTTTCTGTCATTAAATGCTTTCTCTAGCATACAACTAAAGCTTGTGACGATTTCCATATGTTTTTCTATAAGCTGTGAACAGGTGAACACTCTCTAAACTAATCCTATTCAAGAAGCAAACTTAAGAAAACATAAATGAACAAAGCTAAAGACAACATTTACCAACACATTCAATGACTTAGATACAGAAACTTCACATGTATATAAACATTTCTTTCGATCGGACTAACCTTAGCTACAGGACGTGTTCATATGGAAGGTATGTCCGATGGTAGAAACCAAGACAAAGAATGCTGAGATGACCTGATGGGAACTGCTTCTTTCCCTAAAACAGGGCCACGATGTGAGGAGATCATTATTTAAAACAAAACTCGGATCCATTAGTCCATTTTGTTCTGTATGAGTATATGAGTTCGTTATCCATAAAAATCATCTATTTGAAGAAAGCTACAGGGAAAAAAATTTTCTCGACAATCATCATTAGTGGTCTACTCTTCATGCTCTCCCGGATCTTGGCGTTCGTCTCCAAAACTAGCATTCAAACTTCGAGTAACCTGGTAAACAAAAGAGTGTTTGCAAGTCTGTCAGACTAAGCAACAAATATATAAATATCATCAGTGAGATTTTGAGCTAGAAAAGAAACTAAATGGGGAAATTCATGAACTTCTAAGAGACTCGAGTGTATGGAAAACACTCCTAACCATGGCAGTAGACTTCACAAGAAATAATGAATCTCAATGAACCCATAGTGCCCTTTTACTTTCCACTTCAGGATCCTCAAGCTTTGAAGACATGAGCAACTCTTACGCAGTTGCTGAATGACATGTAAAATAGGTTAAACATTCATGGAAGGATATGAATTAATCTTCATACCATGTAAGCACCTACTTACAGATACAGCCGTCCTATGGAAAGAATGTTGTTTCACTATTTCACAGTTTGTTGTTTGCTGCCACACAAAGAGCTTTATATCACATGACAGAATTCAGTAAGCCTTATTAACAAGGAAATGGTGGGCCTTTCTGAAATATACAGTAAAATTAGGTTGATTTTAAGTACGCGTAAAGAGCATTTATCAACAACAAATCCCTGGAGCAAGCTGAACTGCAGATGGGAAAAGAAACCCAAAAAAAAAACGGTGGCCACAAAACCACTTGAGCAGGCAAGGGAGTTCTCTATTGGTAACTCCTTTAAGCGTGGAGGGAAAGACTAAAGTATGAAAATCTTTTAGCAAAATGAATTTAAGTATAATTTAACCAAAGAAGCAAAGACCAAATTTTTGAAGAATAAAAGAAAGTATTCAAGTAAACAGGATGCATACAACATCGCTAATAATTCCGCTAAAATCAGCAAAGAGAATGATAGGAGGAGTTGAATACCAGCATAAAATACCAAGTCAGTATGGAAGCTTCTATAACATTGTTGTAGGATTTATTAGCAAAGAAGCCATCTCAAAATATGCATCCATTCCTTCAATTTTGTCTACTTTTCACCAGCTTCTGCTGAATTTAATCTGACACTGTACTTTCTTCCTCTTTTAGAGTCCAAAGACTGCTTCAGCTTCTCCAGCGCTACCACAAATATAAGCAAACAATTTGTAACATTGAACGTCCAGAACATAGGAATATTCTGGTGAATTTTTGTTGAGTACTGATAAGAGATCTAAAATTAAGGACGCCAAAAAGGGGGGGACACTCACCAGAAGAATAAACGGGCCTCAGGCGTTCAACTGAATTAGCAGGTAAGGGATGAACATTACAGACCATCATGCCAGCCTTGCTGAGAATGTTCCCAAAGCGTTTGACCTGAAAAATGAAAATCAGTGATGGCGCTGCAATAAAATGATATACAATCATTACCAGGAAAAACAAGTAAAATTATTATCACCAGGTGAACATGGTGAAGTAAAAAAATAATAAAAAAATTATAACAACTAGAGTTCAATGCCAAGGTAGCAATCAAGAATGGGTAGAGAATGATACACAAAAGAAGCTCAAAATAAGTTAAAATAAGACTAATAATGATGATGATCGAAATGACAATCTGGAAGAGAGATACTTCTGTAACAGATCCATTAAGTTGAGCGTTTATATCAAAGCAAAGCTACTTCAAAGATAGGACCGTCAAACATGTCAATAAAGCTATGACATCAGTTCCTTTTTTTAATGTCATCTTTCATTGGCATCAAAATCACATTTTTCTCTTCATACTCTACCATATAAGTCTTTCTAAAACCATCATGGATGGTATTCTTATCATACCATGATCATCCTAATTGTAGATGCACGCATCCATGGGAATCAATCGCACCATACTTATTAAAATTTCTTACCTATGGAAAACTACACTAAATATCATTTGCATATTTTATCTCATTGACTTTACGCAGCCAGGCTAATTTATAGGGTGTATGATGCTCCCGAGTAGATAGGTTTAATTTTTTGACCATCTGACTGGATATAACATTCTCACTTCCCCCATTAATAATCATATTGCACACCTTCCCTAGCAAGGTGCATCTAGTATGAAATATGTTATGTTGAAGCTAGTCAGATTCAAGATCTATAATTGTGTTCAAAACCCGGAAAAAGAATTTTTGTTGATGAAATCTAAGAGAAACTTACAATCCAAATTAGCATCTTAGCACTAGTGTAGTTTCAGGAGAAATTGATATCCTCCTCCAAAACACCATTGATGTTTTCACTTGGTCGACTACAAATGGAAATCAATAGATATTAAGGCAATAAGCCGATCAAACTGAGGAAGCAATGAGAGGCCATCTTGAGAAGCTTATTAAGTAGGAAGTGAAGTTGCTCAAAGTGAGATTCATTCAAGAGGTTTAATATGAAAACAAGATATATAATGTAATTATGATAAAACAGACAATGGTAAATGAAGAATTTGTGTATAGTTCACACAGATGAGCTAATATTACCTTAAGGACGGTATTCACTTCCTCATGTAAATGTATCTATGAGCTCAACTACAGGGTATCGAATCATGAGCTTCCTCGATGCATTATTTAACTATCACCATATGTGGGTCATGAGAGGACCATATCACTAATGATGGAGTTTACTTCTTTAAGGAGATGTCATACAACCTCAAGAATGCAGGCGTTATATACCAGTGACTGACAAGAGGAGTTGAATTTGGGGGCCTTCATACTATAGAATTTTACAGAAGCTTTTGTTAGCTTCATAACATGTAATATTAGCTTTAACCATGTTAAATGTGTTTTACTACAAGGCCAATAAATTCTTGGGCTTCTAGGTCATGGCATTGGCGAATGACAATAACTCCTTGAACTCATTGTTTGAGCCCATAACAACTAAGGAGAATATAAACCTACCAAGTCAGGATGAAAGTAGTGATTGATAAATGCCACCATAGTACAGTACTTGATAGTTATACAAATTCACTTGTCGAGAAACCAAGCTCAAACACTTCATCTCCAACCCGATGATAAAAACAAATTATCCTCAAGCAAACTATGAGGAATAGAGAAGCTTAAGTGGACATTCAGTTAGAACAAGGCATTCAACGAGCTCAATAGGAGTAACCATACATGTAGAAAGCAATAAATATTAGGCACGAGGCATTGGTGGTGTCTAAGTTGTTTGTTGCTCAAAATAATAATTAAAATGCAAGAAAATAGCAAGCAAATATTAAACACATTATATCCTCAAAAAATTAGTCCAAAACTCAGGAAGGTTATTTTGGCATGATAAACTCCATGGGTCCAAGTTTGTTTTTTGTAGGGGTGTCAATTCAGTTATTCAGGTCAGCGGGTAGGGTTCGGGTCGAACCCGAATTGACCCGGCTTTAAACGGGTCAACCCGAACCCGACCCGTTTTTGTAAACGGATCGACTTTTTCAACCGGGACCCGACCCGCTCGGGTTGCTGGGTTGACACGACCCGACCCAGACTTTTGAAATATTGCCGGCGGTGCAGCCGCAGCGGCAGCGGCAGAGCAGCGGAAGCAGCGACAGCACGAGTCAGTAAGCACGCGTGCGGGATGGGTTTGTTGCTTCGGGTTCGCTTCGGGTTCGCCGTTCGCCGCTTCGCGTTCGCCATTTGCGGGGCGCGCGCGGGACGCGCACGGGACGGGTTCGCCAGTCGCCACTTCGCTGCTTCGGGACGCGCACGGGACAGGTGACGCTTCGGGCAGAGCACTTGATGCTTCGGGCGGGGCGGGCAGCAGACCGGGCAGAGGATTTCCGGGTCAATTTCGGGTTGCCAAGTCAACCCGAACCCAACCCGTTTTTTGAAACGGGTCAGTTTATTGAATCCAAACCCAACCCGTTTCATAAACGGGTTGACCTGAACCCGGATTTTTCCGGGTCGGTTTCGTGTCGGGTCAAAAATTGACACCCCTAGTTTTTTGTATAAATATGACGGATGTTTAGGAAGCAAAAAAACACGAACAAGACAAAAAGGAGAATGTAGAGATTACCCAAAACTGACCAAAAGAGGCAAAAGACTCTTGGCGCCAACTGAATAATGGGCAAGAGGCCCACAATGGTAATGGTGGGTGGAGTTGGCCGACCAAACAAGGTAGTCTCACAATTATCAAAAAAATAATTCATTGACCAAATGCAAGTGCCAGGCAAAAAACCAAAAAATGTTAAGCAATCCATTTAGATGACCAAATATAAAATAAACTAACTAAACATCCCTTTTGATACATCTAACAAAAGAAGGATTGGTGGACCCACTAAAGATATGTAATGGTTGACATATAAACATGACTTAAAGTTGTTATTCGCCCTCCAAACCTGTATCATCCTTCTCAATCTTTGGTTCCTTCGTCCTAATTTACTAACTCATTAAAAAATGCCTAACCACCATAAAAAAAATTAAGTATATAGTGCCCTTATATCAAATTTAATCATTTTATATGAAAAACCTAGTAGGATTTTTAGAACAATTGGTTTAAAATACTCTTAGACAAAGAACTCATAAACATCTTTGACATAAGTAAGCTCGAAATCATAGGGTTAAAGGAAGTTTGGCTTTCGTTGTTTTGGATTGCATCCAAATGTTAAGGATGTTTGCATAAAATATGGCTTTTAGGTTATGTTAGTATGATAGCTTTCAGGTTATGTAGGTGTTTATTAGTATTGCATCAGTGGCCTGGTTGGGCTTATTGATGACTTACCTAACATTAACATGTTGCCCTACAATGAACCCATTTAAGACCTATTGAATTCATTTTGAAAGCGAGAACTTCATTGATAATCCAGCATAGTCCATAGTATGTTTCCACACCAGTTTGCTGCATACAACTTATTTATAAAGAAAATGCAGCACAAAGTACAATATTTAACATAGAAATCACATTTTCCATTATTACATTTAGACAAAAAGTAATGTGACCTAATGCAGGTGTGATGATAGATGCGCATGTGTGTCAGTTATGTGTGAATGCATATACTCAGATATAACTCACACGTGCATACTTTAGTATATGCTTACACAGTAAACAAATTGCATTGCCTTTATGAATCACGATTGAGCAAAAGAGTGATCAGAGCATATAATTTCACGGTACTTAATAAATTAGAGTGGTAAGAAAACATCAACTTAGTATATTATAATGCAGAGTTTATAAATGTAAATAAGCACTAATTTTACTGCAAGACAAGTACATTGCTCAAGTAGAAAGAGCTTTTCACCTCATCTTTTCTCAGTAAAGTAAAGCAACGGCCCTTGTTTCCCGCTCGTGCAGTCCGACCTGCACGGTGGACGAATGCCTTAACATAAGTAGGCATGTCATAGTTAATAACATTTCTCACTCCTTCAACATCCATTCCACGAGTCATTGCATCTGAAGCAATAAGAACCTCGATTTTACCTTCCCTGAAGGCCTTCAACCTTTTGCTGTATTAAAAAGAGTTTTCTTTAACCATGGCTAATTTCAATGAGCTAAAAGATATAAACATTAGTCAAAATTAAAAAGCAAATTATGTAACGATCGAGGATGCCTAGATATTAAGGGTAGACTACCCCTAAGTTGGTCACAGGGTGACATTTGAAATTTAAACAAGTACGCAAACTCAAAGATAATAGAACATGACCGGCGTAACATTGGGGGCGAATTTGCTCATAGCTGCAACCACATTTACATTTTATTGTTAAAATGATAAGTTGGACCTGTTGTTTTTAAGTGTATTTGATGCATCACATGTGTTAATTATAAAGCCAAATGACAATCATGTCATATAGACTGCCTCCAAAAGCTAGAGTATAGGAACATATCATGAAAAATAATTAGAATATATATTTTGTTAGGATGTAATAACATATATTTTGAAACCAACTTCTCGTTCAAACTCTAATTTCTCCAATACGTAAGCTGGTCATCCTGACAGTTAATTTTCAATAGCCAATTTAGACGTGTTGATCACTCCAACATAATAGAAGAACGATATTCTCTGCAATAAATGTCAATTTTTGTCTAAAAGTCACTTCAAAATATATTAAATTATTTAATTCTTAAAAAAAAAAGTCTAAATTTATGAGTTACAAAAAAGAGTTGAAAATTATGTGGCTCCATCTTGTAATCTCTCAAAAAAGTGGAAACAAAAGGACTAAGACATACAGTTTTTGGTTTACTTTAAGAAAATATTTTAGATCATATTGTGATTTCTCAAAATATATTAGATTATTCAATTCTTAAAAAATGTATAAATTTATACAACAACAACAACAACATCAAGCCTTTATCCCACTACGTGGGGTCGGAAAAAAATGTATAAATTTATGAGGTCCAAAAAAGAGTTGAAAAGTATGTGGTTCCATCTTGTAATTTCTCAAGAAAGTGTAAACAAAAGGATTAAGACATACAGTTTTTGGCTTAGTTTAAGAAAATATTCTCGGTCAAAATTGTGCCCCCCCCCCCCCCCCCCCCCCCCCCCCCCCCCCCCCCTCTCACCATAATTACCTCTTTCAAAAGGGGGGAGGAGCTCGGGGATTTGAAGCCAATCATCACACACACACAGACCCCAAAAAAATTGAAAGAAAGTTAAATGCATACTTCAACATAGAAAGGCATACAAAAATAAGCTAAAATTCAGTCCTGTGAATGAGTAAAGTTTTACTTCCTCTGCAAAGACTTAAAGCTTATTCAGAACAGCATAAATTCCAATGATCAAATAAAGTTCCCCTCTTCATTAAGGAAATATAGCTTAATTGCTTCAAGTATAATGGATTCACATCAAAGTCAAGCCAAAAATAATAATAATAATAATAATATCACTTTCAACTCATAATTTACCTTCGGACAGATTGGTGTTGTAGACTTGAATACTCTTTAACCTTGCATGGTAATTCTCCAAATAAATTAAGTAATTTGGAAAGCCTGTGAGTTGACTCCACTGATGATGTAAAAACTATCGATTTTTCCCCTCTTAGCTCTTGCAAAAGCACAACTAAATACAATGGCTTCAACTTTGATTCACAAATCTGCATAACAGGACAAATTATGGCAACAACCAACAACCAAAATCCTTCTCATGTTTCAAATTCCACTAATTGAGCTAAAAATAATAATGCATAACATACAAATAAAGAGTGCCAAGAAAAATATTAAAATTTTCCAATTCTTATGTCTATAACAACAAGGTGGTCGTTAAGTATTATGTTTAAAAAGAAGAGTATACCAAAAATATGAAAAAAAAAAAAAACAAAAACAAAGCACAATATTTTCTAATATAACATCGACTCATACACAAAATGATATCAAGATTTTATCCAAGTTCAATGATCAAATAACCAAACTACTATTGAATTATCCTTATTCGTTGTCTGAAAGAATTCCAACCAAACACTATTTCTAATTTCACCTATATCTTAACAACAAGTTCAGTTACTGATATAAAATAAACCAGAATAGAAGAGGGGCGATTGCAATGTATTCATTAGTATAGAAAGCAAAATTGCAACATACTAGTTTGAATGACTCCAGTTTTTCAGGTAACTTGTACCGCCGATCTCCACTTGTTAACAACAAAGGATGGTGCAAATCAAGTTGAGAAAGCTTGCTTGGATCTTGTGTCAGCGTAGCAGACATTATAATCTTAACCAACCTTGGATAACATTTACCCTTAAATCCTCTTTCCACACCACTGCAAAAATAAAAATAAAAACATAAAGGAATAGCATTATCCCAAGAATAGCAGACGTTGGTTAAAAAGCAATAAAAAGTATCCAAGAGAAAAAGAAAGGTTAGCATAATGCCTACTGCAAGTACAAATCAACAAGAATCAAGTCACACGAACAAAATTTAGTTAGCCAGATGTATATTCAAATTCTTAAATGAGTGTAACCTTAATCTACAAAAGGAATAACAAATCGCAACTATCTTACCCTCGTCTTATGGTGGTCAAATAATTAAGCGTTGAAGAGACGATCTCATCTTCCTTAAAACCTGCTTGATTTTTGGAACAAGAAAGTTGAATTACTGTTGGTAACCAAGACTGATATGCTTCCCTTAACAGCCTATCTGTCTCATCCACTACCTGAATTTTCATCAGTGTGAATTGATCAGACTTCTCAAGAGTGAAATTGCAATTTGAAATCAAGAGCTTGTATAAGTAATTCATAGAACTCAAACAGCAGATACATGAAAAATTCAATACATAAAGCTTAAAATTTTTCAGGTAAGCTACAGAAATACTTCTCCTGAAATTTGTTACGATTAAAGAAACACGTCTAAATGACATTTTACAATTCAGAATTTTCAGGAAGTGCAGATTTTAAGGACATTTTTTAATCAAGTAAAGCACTTCTACAGTGTATAAATGTTAGAAGGAATTCCTTGAACAAGTATTACATAAGTCAAAAATTAGGGGAACATTACATAGACTCATGAATAAAGATTTTCAGAATATTATATGAAGGCATTTTTCCAATATAAAAAAAATGAAATACACAATGCAAAAGGATGCCACTTTTAGACTATCTAATTTAAGAAAATTAAAATCAAAATATAACCGCTATAACACATATGAAAGAATCAACAAAAGTGAAACATGTGAATTGGAACATATAATAACACGCAACTAAGAGGCAAATTTCATGAAAGTACTTTAATAATAACCATGGCTTTCAGAAGGTAACCCTCAAAAGAGATTATGAAAATTGAGAGCCTAAAGTGAAATGTAACTCATGTTTTTGTGTCCTACACTTGTTAACATGACAATCTATGTTGCACCGATACTGATACGGCGACACGGATACGACACGATACGGATACGGGACACGTCAATTCTTAAAAATACTGGATACGGGTACGGCGCGGACACGTCATTATAATTTATAAATCATACATAAAAATTAAAAAAACAATCAAATCATAATATTTGAAATGACAAAAAAAAATGAAAGCAACATCATTTGTAGCCTTGTAGCTTATAATATCAAAATAAAAGTAAGCATTGAGTCAAGGGAAGAGTTAAAACTCATTGTCTAATAAGAATATTGTGGCATGATTCTACTAATTATGTTGTTGCATGATTTGGTGACATGTTTACTGAATAACATATGAGAGCTAAACTTTTTTTTTTCTATTTAAGAATTCATACAAACCACAATAACATGATTTTTTTAATACATGAATAAAAAATCAAAGCATTACAAATGCAAAATAATTGATACCCTAATATCATATTTTCTAGTAAACTAGCATCAATGTAAAAGGCTCGCAGGTTCAAAAATGAGAGAACCTCGCTCGCAGACGCGGAACTAAATATCATTGTTTAAAATTGCGCAATATGAGGCTCGCCTTGAGGCCCGTCTTTGTGCAATTCCAATGAAAAGCACCTCGAGGCTTACGCCTCGAGTTTCTTTTATGAGGCTTGCGCCTCAACTTTGTTGAGGCCCGCCTTGCTAGCATGAGGTATATATATATATATGTACACACACACACACACACACATATACACGTATATAAACTTACATAAATCATAAAATAAAGGTATTGAGGCGTTTTTTGCTTCATATGTCATTGTGTTACTTCATAGTTCAATAAAAAGATAATATGTCATCTTTTAACATATTATTTGAGTATTATATAAAAATTTACTTTTAATATTTATTTGCAGTTAACACAATATTTTATTTTGAGGCTTACGCCTCGCCTCATGTACAAAAAACACCTCAATACCTAATTGAGCAATTTTAAACATTGGTAAATATAACGCATCTTTTTTTCGGATTTTTTTTCGTCTTTCAACGGTTTGAAATTAAATAGTATTTTAATTGGATACGGCATTGACGCATCTGATATGTATCGGTGCCGTATCGAACGCGTATCGTATCCTATACAGCATGCCTTCATAAATAGGTGTATCGGTGCAACATAGATGACAATACATGGTAACACTGCAGCAACCAAGTAACTTAAGAGAAAAGGTTAAGAAAATGTACTAAGTTTATAAAATCCTTCTAACCAACATCACCTTTATTGTCACCTACCAAAACATTACAGAGTTCAATTAAGTAATAACTTTTGATGATAACAATTGGTCAGTGCATATTGCATCTAAACGAAACTAGCATGTTCACCAGTCATTACATTACATTGACACAAGTTTTGACTGAGATTTTTAGGTATAAATAATAGCTCATTAAAGGAAATGAAAGTGGGTATGGTTAAACACTTCTAAGGAATTGGCAATATGGTTAGGAATAACTGAGGCATGATCATGAATCTTCTAGTAAAAAAGACAGCTATCTCCTGGGAGTATCTGGAATCTGTTAGTTACCAAATAACATAGATGCTCCAGACTGAAACCTTTTGTTGTATTAATATGATCTATCAGCCTTCCTGGTGTTGCAACTAATATGTCCACAGAACTTTGCAGTTTAGTTTGCCAAACCTCCGGATCAAAAGCTGAAAACATATCAAGTCTAGGGTGCTCGATCAGCTTTGAAACTTCATCTGCAATAGATGATTGCCCGACAGCTACTCCTACACTCAGACCTACTGCAGGAGCAATGGCATCAAAAACTTCTTTAACCTAATCCAAGCAGCAAAACAATTGGTAAATGTAGTTAGTCCCTAAGACATTCAGCCAAAAAGGTTACAGCAATTACAAGTTATAAAATGCAAATATGAAGAGCAATTTGTCTACCTCCAATCAAAAAAATAACAATAATAATTTAACAAAACATATAAAATACAAAATTGAAGAAAGAAAAAGCGGCCAACCTGTAAAGCCAAGTCTCGAGTAGGCAAAACAACCAATGCACGCAAACATCTAATCTTCCGAGTTGAGAGAATCTGCACGATGGGTAAAGCATAGGCCAATGTCTTGCCAGTCCCGGTTGGCGAGTTGACACAAATATCTCTTTCAAACGCGCCCGGCCCAATTGTTTCCTGCCACATTGCAACTTGCACAGGAAATAGTGATTGGATATCCATTTTCTGCAAAGCCTCCATTAATCTGCAAAGGAAAATTTTACAGCAAAAACTACTTTGACGAATTAAACATCGACAGTTACTCAATCCGCTTCGTCTCCATCAACAAGGGGTGAGAAAACAAAAAGTTTCACGCAGAAAGAAATTCCATTCGCGTATACAATTTAGACCGGAAAGTAGTTGTGAGAAGGAATAGTTACCTTGGATCTAAGAGTGGAATAAAACCGAGAGGGCAATTGTCGAAGAGTTCGATGTCAACAGGATTCCGCATCCATGGGAGCACCGGCAAGGTCTTGGGCCGCCCCTCCGCCATGCTTTTCTTCCCTGACGGGCTGTTTGGATGCAGGATTTGAGCAAGATTTCAGGAAGATTTTTAGTTTAAATCCTGCCCAACATAAAAAAAAATGATTAAAATCCTACAGAATCTTAAATCCCATTTATTATCCGTTTTCCTGTATTACAGGATTAATTAAATCCCGGTGTTCGGCGGATTAACAAGATTTAGGGGACATGAAGCGCGGAAGAAAGGTGCAGCAAAGACCTTATCTTCCGTCCGCTTAAGCTCGATGGGTAGCCTGCCGAAGGCAAGCTCGAGCGCCACGACTCCTAGGGGCTGTTTGGATGCAAGATTTAGGCCGGATTTGAGCTAAATCCAGCCAACGGACAAAAATGCAAAACTAAATCTCACGATAAATCAAAGCCGCGGTTGACGGAAAATTCCCTCTTTCGTGGTAAATCCCGCATTTACGAAATCCTTTGGTTCGGCGGATTTACGGGATTTGGCAGAAGAAGCGCGCGAAAGGGAGAAAGTTACCTTCACAGCAAGCGAGCTCCCGTGGTTTCTCCCTATCAAAAAAATGTCGTAACTTCCGATCCAACAGGAAGGGAACGTCGTCGAAGGAGCAAAGTCGACAGCGACGAAGAAGAACTCGTGCAAAACTCTAGACTTATGCGAAGGAACGAAGCCGAACGAAATAGAGAGGGAAAAGTAAAACCTAGACTCCTGTAAGTTATTGTTGGATAATTTAACTAATATAATTTAAAATATTAATAATTAAGTGAAATTAATTAAATAATATTTAAATAATTAATAAACTTATTAGTTAAATACTTAGTTATTTCAAAATAACTAATTGAATTAAATATGATTTAGATAAAAATAATTAATATAAAATATTATAAATACTAATTAAATAATTAAATAGTATTATAATATTAATTAGTATTAATAAAGGTTTGTTATGTGTTATTTAAACTTTTTTTATCTTGCTTTAATTATTCTAGCAATGCATGTCAACTCTTTTAATTGATTTAAATTCTGAATTGGACAGTCAAACATTCACAAATGACTTAATAGAATTTATCATGATTGTTACCAAACACCTTTTAGGATTTAACCCCCCAGGATTTCGTAAATTCAAATTTGGAGGAATGTATACATTTTGTAAATAGTATATATAAATTTATATATATTATATGCATAATCATATAATTTATATAAAATATGTATAGTTTTACACAGTATATATAAATTTATACACATTATATATCATGGCACATATCATATTTTTATTGAAGTTCGGCCGTAACTTATTTTTATTGAAGTTTGGACGTAACTTTGCGTCTAGACTCTGCACGTAACCCTAGAGAGCATGTTTGGCAACAAGATTTATGCAGGATTTGAGCAAGATTTATGTGACATTCGAAAATTAAATTTAAAAGAATTTTTCTTTTTATTTTATTTTAATAATATATGAAAACTTCTATTAAGTATTAATATAACTCATAATATCCATTTGAAACATCTAATAATTGTATTCATTAAAATATTTCATTATATTATCTCCCAAAATCAATATACAATATTAGGAGATAAATACTCTATCACTAGTTCCTGACTATAAAAGAATAAAAAAATACGATCAAAATCAAAATAAACCTAAGAATCTCTATCAATCTCACTCCACATGACCCTAACCTAAAATTATTAAAATTCACATAATAAGCTAAAAAACTAGTAGTAATTCAAACTCACTAAAACTTTCAATGCAATAACTAAAGAATCAACATGAATACTTAGCCAATTAAATCAATAGCAATCAATATATTCAATGACTAATTATCATCAATAAAACTAAGAATAATCAATAGTAAAAACAAGAATTCATTACAATGAATATGGGAAGCTATAGCAAATAAAAAAAAAAGAGAGTAAAACAACAGTGCATAAATTATCCATAAATAAATAAAGGAATCTATTTCATCAAATGCATAATCTATTCATGTGCTATCTATGTATCTAATATTATATGATGTCAATATATCTGTGAACTCATCAGTGCTATCAACATATGCATGCATCAATATATGATTTAGCAAGGTAGGATATTCAATTTTAATGTGATGTTTTTCATCCCCATCTATATTCATTTCATCAATGTCATCTTTATTATCATTATATTTGTCATTAATATTTTTGGAGGCCTTCAATAGTCATTGAGAGTCGTCATCCTCTCTTCATGGGCATAATTAACAGTAATCTATTATAAGCTGCAATCATATAACATCACAAACCATCTTTAAAGAAAAGCTTATCAGACTACCATCCTGTGTAGGACATTACATTTTAACAACTAACCCTAATTAATTATATTGTTAATAGCCAACCCTCCTTGCTTTTATTGTCAATGCCACATTCATTTATATCAATTGCAATCTAATAAGCAATATCTATAAATATATATATATATATATATATATATATATCTTATAGCTTCAGGAAATCATAAATTTCATTTCACCTAGTAGTCAATAATATTACAATCAAAATATTCATAAAATATGTATTTATTATACATAAAAAATTACATGGCAAAGACTCAATAAATTAGGAGAAAATATAATTATATTGATTTGGAAGAGAAGAAACCAGCCAAACTCAAAATTAATGAAAACTAAAATGAGATTTGAGTTAATTAAAATAACTAGAATAAATCTTTGAACAAAATCGACCGCCCAAAATGCCAAAAATCTACTTCTCCCTCCTCCCTCTCTCTTCCTTCCTCTTCCTCTCCCTCTCCCTCTCCCTTTCCTTCTCACGCAAGTTGACCATCCGCGAGGAGAGTCAGGGATGGGTGAGTGGAAAATATGTATATAAATGATATTTGTGGTGCTCAAATCTAACGCCATATCTAGCTTCATATGTTAAATCCAGAATTACTATGGAGCAGAGACTCCAACACCGCAACGATAATTTAAGGTTTTGTTGTGCTTCAGACCCCAACGTCTCGACACTAAAAGGCACAACACCGCTACACTGCAGTTCAAACAACAACAAAGGAAAAGCAAACCCCAAACATCGAAGGAGTCGAATGACCAACTCGTTGCAGCAAATTCGAACAGCAACGAATAAAATGAGTTCAAGAAGCGACTCCACAGGAAAAACTACCTCATGCGAAGCAACGGAGTAACAAGGGAAAAGCAAACCCCAAACGTCCTCAGGACCTAAACTATTAGCAAGAAATTAGATTAATTCCTACTTTCTTAATTAGTAATGTAATTAATATAATTTGAAATATAACTAATTAGTTAGAGAATTAACTACATAAATCATAATTAAATAAGTAATTAGTAATAGAATAATTAATAATAAGTACTATTAATTATATAATTTATAGTATAAATAATGATTAAATAATTAATGAGTAATAGAATATATACTTTAGTGATTAATGAGACAATTAATCATATAATTAATAATTAAAACTAATTAAATAACACTTAAATAATTAAATTATTAGTATGATTATTTGTTAACTAATTAGCTACTTCAAAAAATAATTAATAAATTAATTAGAGAATCATCAATATAATTATATTTCAAATACTTATTAAATTACCACTTAAATAAACAATTTGATAATTAGTATTATAATTAGTAAATCCTATTTGTTGCCAAACAAGAGACTTAGGGGCTATTTGGTAAATCCTGCTAATTGGTTTGAGAGCTCCCAGTACATCCAAATTGATCATAAATCCTATATTTATGGATTTATAGCGTAATATGAGATTTATTAAATTATGTCGTTTAACGGATTTAAAGGATTTACGAATTTGCGATGTTCGCCCATGGTAAGCAAGTGAAGTCTCGTCTTGAAAGGGAAGGTGATAATGATTGCCTTCACAGTGAGCGAGTTCCCGTCATGACTTTCGATCTAATGTCGTTGAAGGAGGATGCAAAGAATGTTCTTTAGTGACTCTTTCAACACACTTTAAAGAAGTAGCATTTCAATTATTATATATATATATATATAATTGAAATGCTACTTCTTTAAAGTCATCATATATAAAAAACTCTTGTTATAAAAATTCTTGAATGGACAACCATCTTATGAAAAACTCTCGTTAAAGCTATCTCAAATAGATCCTAAATTTAAAATATTATTGTTATTAAAATTGTAATGATAACAAAATATGAGGATTAATTAACCTACAAAAAATATCATCCGACTCGAACAGGCCAATATGCAAAAAGCATTATAAAATTTCTCATAAAATAATTAAGCAACCTTCTTAGTGTCTTCCTACTATGTTACACCTGACAACCTCAACATTCTGAATAGAGAATAACTGAAACTCAAATCCTTTCATAGCCAAAAAATTCAGAAGAAAAACACAGGGAAACAAGAACAAATCGCAAGCGTGATTACTTGCAAATCGACTATCTTTCTTCTGTACATAGCTAGAGACACCCAAACAGAATATGGTGAAATTAATTTCAGTTGACTTTTGCATTATTCTCCTGGTTATCTCGACCTGCAGAAATAAGTGAAAACAGAGATCAGTAAGGAGTCTTTTTGAGCGTTTTCTTGAGGTAAAAATTATGTTTTCCTTTTTCCAAGCTTAGAAGTGTTTTTGTGTCTTAGATGAAATAAGCATTTATGATTCATTTGGGGTGTTTTTCTTGCTGCATTTTAAAGCAGCTTTCTAGTACAAAAATTACAACAAAGCTGTTTTAAGAAACAATAAGAAGGCCGTCCCAAACAAAGCCTTATTCTTTGGGAGATTTTATTTTTCTCATTTTGATTAATCCTATATAACTAATTTATTCTACAAAATATAATAATTTTGGTACAAAATAAACTATACATATTTGATATTTTTGCCAATAAAAGACATCCTAAATAATGAAGTGTTGTCCCTCTCTCATGCATTTTAGATAAATTTATTTATGCATTATTTTAGTATTAATATTTTTATATAGCTTTTATTTCATAAAATATCAAATACATCTTACAGTTAAATTTTATTATTTTTCAAGAGCGAGTAAGTCATTTTAATGTTGAACTAATGAAAACTGAATTAAAAAAACAATACAAGGGAGGTATTTGATATTTGTCAAACCTCCGAGAAGTACAAATTCTTGGTTTCTTTGGAGGGGTGGGGGAATTCAGATTTAAGTGGACTCTTCCAGGATTCCAGCCAATTCACATTCCTACGCAGTTTATTCATGGCCTGGTGACTTTTCTAACTCCCAAAAAAATTTTAATTAGTGTTGTCTATGCTGCAAATGCTACTGTAACAGATATTCTCTGGGAATCCCTTATAAATTTTTCCATGTCGACTTTTTTCGAATTGTTATAGGTAACTTCAACTATATCAGATCTGTTGAGGATAAGCTACGAGAAAATATTCCTCTTCCTAGCACGTTGATGGACTATTTTTAAGCTATTATTTTGAATCTTTTCAACATTGGGCTTTCTGCTAATGGTACCTCGACCAACCTGATTTTCCTATTATATCAAAGATTGATAGAGCTCTTTGAACTGACAAATGGTTGAATTTATTACCTTGCTCTTACTACAAAGATGTGCCTCCTCTAATCTATTTGATCATTCCGCTGTCACTATACATATATTGTCTTTTCCATCTCTTAATCACAAATTTATTTTCAGGAATTTTTGGAATCTTTGCAATGATTTCAAGGATATCACCATGAAGGTTGTGTTCTTCTGTCTATGGTAATCTCAATTATTCTGTGCAAAAAAGCTCAAACTTGTTAAAGCTTTCCATCACTCTAATTATACAAAACTCTATAGACACGAACAATCTTGGGTGTTCTCTAGAAAAAAACAATCTCCTAGACCCATCGCTCTTACAAAAAGCAAATATCATCCAAGAGAATCTGTTTCATGCCACCAGATGTGAAAGCAAATGAATTTCCCAAAGTGCTTCTACTGTTTGGTTGTCTGGGAGTATGAATGACTTACCTTCCTTTATAAAAAAAAAAAAATCACAGGAAGACATAATCATAACCATATTAAGGAATTCTTACTCCTGGAGCCACTCTTTCTTCCCCTAAATACATTTCTGTTGAGGTGATCCGGCAATCTCTTCTCATACGATCATTCCTCTTCATGCGCAACTCTGCATTTTTACAGTTTTTAATGCTCTGTCGGTTCTATATCCATATCATCACTACTCCTTTAACCAGGAAATCAATAAAGCTTTGTTTAAAATTGGAAATTAAGATAAAACTTAGGTCCTGATGACTTCATCTCTAAATTTTTTATTTCCAACAAGGACAGTTTATCGTTCTGGCGAGATTTTTCTTTCAAACATGTTTGCTGCTAAATATGGGTAAGCACTCTACTATGGCTCAAACTCCCAAGCAACCTCTAGCCAATTGCTATTTTGATTTGTGAGTTTGTACCAATATGACTCGACAATAATTTTATGAAAGTGATTAACCAGTTAATTAAGCTCAAACTTGTTCTTCTTTGACTCCATCCAACCCAAGTGTATTTTTACTAAAAACAGGAACATTTCAGATAATATCATTTTAGCTACTGAAATACTCATGTGTTAGTTTTTTGCGCTAAGATTGACCGTCAGAATGCTAGATTGTGCTAATATGACCCCTTTATTTCAAAGATTGATTAACGAAGGAGTACCTAATGCTTTTGTAAAATGGATTGAGGTGTGTATTACTTCTGTTCCGTTCTTTGTTATTATTAATGGTAGGTGAATTGCTGTTTTCAATCTATAAATAGTGAGGAAAGGATACCCCTCATCCCCTTTCACCTTTGACTTTGTCATGAACTATCTTTCTTGCCTTAGTGAGGACAGTTGAGCCAAGATGGACTTCCTTCTACCACCTGTGGTCAGAGTACTTTATTCACTTATGTATGCCGACAACCTGTTGATTTTCGGTAATGCCGATTCCCTGACTTTTAAATTTTCTCAAGGATTGTGCAGCTTCTTTTGGGAAGTTGAGCAGCTTTAATAAATCTAACTTGCCAAAAATGTGAGCAATTCCACCCTGTGTGTCATTTCTTTGGTATTAAATGTGGCTCTCTGCCACTAATTTATCTTGGACTTTCCATCACAATTTCCAGAACCTTGGCTAAGGATTACACCTGTTGAAATACTTTAAAAATGATTTCATTCCTTGGAAACAAAAGTTTCTTTCATTCGCCTGTGGTCTCCAACTTATCAAGTACTACATTTTTTGAGTTACCAATTCTATTGACTTAGATCATTATCATTGCCAGAATATATCATAAAAAAATGAGCAATTACATTTTAGATTCCTTCATGACAGTGACTTTCCAAACAAACTTCATTTCACCTCTCAAAATCATACCACTCTTCCAAAACTAAATAAGAGGCTTGGACTTTCTCTCTCGCCATCCTGAATGTCACTTACAAAATGAAAACTACTTCGAAGCTTCTTTGCAGCTTTAATATCCAAAATATATAGTGCACCGCTTGGTTTGATCCGGATTCTGGACCAAGAGTCCTGGCAATATTTCTCAATTTTGGAAATATCTCTAACCTATAGTTCCTCAGCTACGAACATAGCTTTCTTTGATGATGGTCAGGATTTTTTCCTTTCCATGATCCTTGGATAATTTGATACTCACTAACGGATGTTTTGGGGCCTTGGATTAACTCCCGTTTTAAACTCCCCTGGATGCTAAAATTAGTTCCTTCGTTTTAAGGGAAACTGGAGCCTTCCTAGGACCTCTTCTTTGGCTGAAGTTCTTTGCTTGGATAAAATAAAGCTATCCATATTAATCCTGACGGGCATATTCTATTTTGGAATGAGAAAGAGGATTTCACTGCTATTGCCTAGAGGACTTCATATCTAGGTATTTTGTATATATAAGTTGTTCCCTACCCCCACCAAAAAAAAAATCATACTTGTGAACGTTAATATTTAAACAAACTATTTAGAAAGTATGATTATAATTCATAATTCTAATATTGATGAACAAGGAAAGTACATTTCCTAACATATTCTTTTTTATTATATGTAAACACTTCATTAAAAAAAACTATTACTTGAAAATTAGGAACCAATGTATTATGATTAGTGATTACCTCTTTTCTCCTCAAGCTCCATTTGCTTCTGGGCTGTTTGAGCGTTTTCTGTGCTCTTGGCCTCAGTCGATACATGGCTGAAAAACTTCTCCTTGGCCCATGCAATGGCCTCATCCACAGCAGCTGCACTGATCTCATTAACCTCTGTAGTGCCATGGCTATCTATCTCAATAACAAAAGGACTCTCTGCAATATTTCTCTCCTCCACTTCCATCACCATCTTCTCCACCTCTCTTTCACAGCTTGGGTGCTGCACGTAGGCTTTAAATCCAAAGGCTCCCATTGTTTCAAGAAACACTGACGATATCACAGATGAGGGTGAGCCAATGTCGGATGATTCGAAGAAGCCATCACTAGCACGATTCTTTTGATTCTGACTAATGCTTGGCTCGAGATTAATGGTGTCCGGTGGTGAAAAGGAGTAAGAGAAGTTGGCGTGAGTGTGTTGTGGGAGCATACTGGTGCTAGCAATGAAGCATGATCTTGAGGGGAGGCAAGGGTGGTTTATTGCACCATATTGGTCGTCCGACGTCTCTACTGTGGAGAAAGTTGATGGTGGGGAGTTGTGTCGCCTAGTTGGTATGGTTATTGGCCTGAGGGGTAGAAAAGATGGAGAAGTTTTATATTTGTATCATAATTTTGTTATGTTAATCTAGAATATCTTTAATTTTGCCTTTTTTTTAGATTTACAAATATAACACTCAAATTTATCTAATATATATATTTAAGACATAAACTTTATTATTTATTTAATATAACACTATTAAATCAAATTTGCATAATTGAGGAAATCACAAAGTGATTTTTTTGACATTTTGGACCGGCGGTGTATGCAATTCATCAACAACAAAGAAGAGGAAAGTAAGTAGCGACAATATCTTATTGGGGAAACGCCATCGACAAGACATGCAGTGTGTACAACAATCCAAGAACACTCAACAAAGAAGAAGAATAGAGAAAGTCATAACACAGGATAAGGTCATCAAGAAAGTTGACAGGAAAGTGGTATGTTTTTTATATTACTTAACATAATTGAATATTATGTGAGTAAATAATAAACTTTAAATTTTAGATAATTTTGATTGTTATGTATGTAATTCACAATATTTTAGCGCAAAAGAGTTTTGGGATAGATGCAAAACATCTACATGCAAATTAATTGTTTTGTGTTTGAGAAAGTAAATTGACGAAAGGTAGCTTGATTTGCTGTAAAATTCTATGATGTAAATGTCTTGTATAAGAAAGTAGAGGAAAATAAAACTGTGGTGCAGCTTTATTTTAGGGTGCTTCTAGGTTAGATCTAATCAATAAAAGGTTCTCATGCGTTGCTGTGTTTGTAAACATGATTGCTCCTCCAGCACTCAATTGATTGCATTTAATGACAGAGTTGTTGTTCCTAAAGTTAAAGGCTTCATAAATTCACTCTTTTTTTTTTTTTGGACATTTAGGCCAATTAAGGCAAACTCACACACACAACGCATACACATAGACTCGAACCTTGGACCTCTTGGTTGGAAGCTTAAGCTCTCAACCAACAGGCCAAGGAGAGTTGTGTAAAATTCACTCTTTTATAATGTGAAATGCATAAAAAGGCTTGCATGATAAAGGAAATTTGCTGCAGTATGTTTAAAGTTAAAACTTCCAAGAGATGGGAAATATTTATGTGCAGCTTTGGTTTTTTTCAAGGTAACAAACTTTCAGAAAAAGGTTAATCCACGGGTGGTTTACTGGACGAGGGGCCTCGCTCTTTTGCATGCAAAAAAATAAACATAAGGGATTTACATGCATATCATATAAGTTTTGTATTTATATATTTAATATTTAAATTTTTTCTATTTTTATATAATATTTTAGTGTCTCAATCATATCAAAATAAATAAATAAAATATCTTTCATCTAAAAAATTTAATACTAATAATTTAAAATTTTAAATATTATACAAGTAAATGCAAAAACGGTTTTAAAGCTGTCCTAAAGAAAGCCCAAATTAAATTAGCTATTTATACTTCACTCCCCAAACAAATGGTTGCAGCCGTGCCAACTTTTAGCCATTCTAGAAATTAACTTTACTTCTTAAATAGCACCTTTATGGCATAAGATCACTAATTGAATATTAGAAGCTTACTAGTTTAACTAACCTAAAAAAAAAAAAAACTATTTCTACTCAATGATATACATGAAAGATAAACTATGAACAGTGAAATAAACAAATTTGTATTAATTTGAGATTTACATATTTTTACAAACTCCACAACATTCAACATAAAAAAACAAATCATTTTTTAATGATTCCCATATTGACATATTACAAAAGCATAGCATGTATGTTTAGTAACTAATCAAGAATTAGCAAAGAATATAACAGAGCATCCATGATACATGTGACTTTCACTCTGTAAATTTATGAGAAAATGAAGTTGAAAATTTACCTTAACTCATTTATAAAACAATAAACTTTATGATATCTCATCATTGATTAGATATAAATGTAATTATAAATAAAATTTAATTTTAAACTCCTCAAATAATTCTAAAATCCCTCGAAAGATCTCATTATAAATGTATATAAAATAAGTAAAGATAAGATTATCATTTTACAAAAAAAATATTTTATATCTACGAGCAATCAAATAAGCCCTAATTTAACGAACAAATCACCTGAGTTTAGCAGCAAAAGTAGAGAATATGGCATCATCGCCCAAACAGTGCGTCGTAGGACTCAACTCTGAGGGCTTCGACTTCTCCATCGACTGCGATTTCAGCTTCCGATTCCAACCGTCCGATCCAAATATATCATCATAAAACCCTACCTTCGTCTTCACCCTCCCTTCCGCCGCCGGCGGAATCCGAAACCCCGGCAACCTCCTCTCTCCACCAGCCGCTGACATTCCCCTCTCCGATGAACGAAACATCTCGTCGTAGATAGATTCTGGCCTCCGCCCCCCCTCGAGAGAGAATTCGCCGGAGAATCGCCGGAGGAGAACGGTCCGCGGAGGTCCCCCGAAGACGTCGCGGAAGTCGTTGGGGTCCAGCCCCTCGCCACCAGCCCACGGCCTCCGGCGAGAGTCTTCTGTGGATCGCCGCCGTGGGATTATTAGTCCCATTGGAATGTCCCAAGATTCGTCCATCGCCGGCGGTGGGAGTTTTGGAAGTTGAAGGAGCCCCGATTTATATTTGCTGTAAATCGGACAGGACGGACCCTTTTAAAAAGGCTTGAGCAATTGGTGTAAATCTTCGGCACAGTGACTTATAGTTGATGGATTGGGTACTCTTCATCATTCTCAGTAAAAATAAGAGCAGCATTGGGTACCCCTGTTCACATTCACCCACATACTCAGTGGGTATGAGTTTGCTCATGATCTCGACGGTGTATATGGGTGGATACTCAACATCAGAAGATAAACTGATTTATATTGCTAACTATTATATATCATATATTATCATAATCCTCAATACATAGTGCGCAACACTGAACCGTGCTGCAACCACGGTAAATTCTGATATGCTTCTTGAAAGTGTGCAGTTAGAGCAAAGGATAATAAGCCTCAAGGTCATCAGTTCGTGACGGGCTGCGTTCAAAAAGTGTGTGCATATGGGTGGATATGACTAGGGGTGTAAACAAGTCAAGTTGAGTCGAGTTTATGCCCTTATTGATCTCGGCTCGTTAGTTGGAAAGCGAGCTCGAACTCACGTCTCACTGTAAACCAGCTTGAGCTGGTTCGCGAGCCATGGGCAGGAATTTTAAATTTTTAACGGAATTTTTAAAAATTAGGCGGGATTTTTAAAATTTATTCAAAATTATTTTTTTCTTTAAAGTTTAACATTTAAATAAAACTTAGGTGGTTTTTATTATTTTTTAATATTTAAAATTAATAAATAAAATAAAAATATTTTAAAAATATTAATATTTATTGCCGACTCGCGAGGAGAGCATGAGTACCCCATGTAGGGCTTTGATAAAAATGTGAATGTTTGTGAGTATTATCTTTTGATATTTAAAATTCAAATAATTATATAAATCTAATATAAAGTTTAAAATTTCAAGATTTAGGAGAAATAAATTGTGATGATAAAATAAATATTTAAATTATTTTATTATCATTTAAAGGTCATTAATAATTAAAATGCATGATAAAAATACAATAACTATTTAAATTCAAATCTTTTTTAAATTATTACCAAAATTAGTTATGATTTCCACATTATTTTTTTTGCAATTTTTGGTTTTATAATATTTGTATTTAGTCATATTAAGACTTATTTGGGACAACTTTTTATTTGTTTTCTAATCAATTTTTTGGTACTAAAATTTTTTGAATTAGAAAATTTTTTACTAAAAAATTGATTTAAAATATAACCAAATAATTATCTCAAATCAAGCTTAAATTTAAAAAATTATATATTTATATTAACTACAGACATTAAAGTTTAAAATTATCATATTTATTTTTAGATCAAAATTAAGGCTTCGTTTGGGACTGCTTTTTTACTGCTTTCTAAAACGGAGTTTTAGTACAAAATTTTTTATTTTTGTACTAAAACTCCGTTTTAGAAAGCAATAAAAAAGCCGTCCCAAACGAAGCCTTAATTTTGGGAAACGCATCGACAAGACAGCAGTGTGTTCAACAATCCAAGAACACTCAACAAAGAGGAAGAATAGAAGAAGTCATGAACACAGGATGAGGTCACAAGAAAAGTTGACAAGTACAAGTGGTATGTTTTTTTATATTACTTAACATAATGTAATATGAAATATTATTGAAGAGTAAATAATAAACTTTAATTTTAGATAATTGATTGTTGATGTATGTAATTCACAATATTTTAGCGCAAAGAGTTTTGGGATAGACTCAAAACATCTACATGCCAAAATTTAATTGTTTGTGTTTGAGATAAAGTAATTGACTGAAATACTAGCTGATTTGCTGTAAAATTCTGATGTAATGTCTTGTATAAGAAAGTAGAGGAAAATAAAACTGTGTGTGCGGCTTTATTTTAGGTGCGTTCTAGTGTTAAGATCTAATCAATAAAAGGTTCTATGCGTTGCTGTGTTTGTAAACGATGATTGCTCCTCCAGCACTCAAATTGATGCATTTATTGACACGAGTTGTTGTTTCCTAAAGTTAAAGCTTCATAAATTCACTCTTTTATAATGTGAAATGCATAAAAAGGCTTGCATGATAAAAGGAATTTGCTGCCAGATTTTTAAGTTAAAACTTCCAAGAGATGGGATATTTTATGTGCAGCTTTGTTTTTTTCAAGGTAACAAACTTTCAGAAAGGTTTAATCACGGGTGGTTTTACTGGACGAGGCCTCGCTCTTTTGCATGCAAAAAAATAAACATAAGCGGATTACATGCATATCATAAAGTTTGTATTATATATATTAATATATTAAATTTTTCTATTTTATATAATATTTAGTGTTTCAATCATATCAAATAAATAATAAAATATCTTTCATCTAAAAAAGTTACTACTAATATTTAAATTTTAAATTTATAAAGTAAATGCAAAAATTTAAAAAACAATAAGAAAGCTGTCCTAAAGAAAGCGCAAATTAAATTAGCTATTGTATACTTCACTCCCCAAACAAATGGTTGCAGCCGTGCCAAACTTTTTAAGCCAATTCTAAGAAATAACTTTACTTGTTAAATAGCACCTTTATGCATAAGATCACTAATTGAATATTAGAAGCTTACTTTTAAACTACCTAAAAAAAAAAAAAACTATTCTACTTCAAATGAATACATGAAGAAATTATGAACATGTGAAAATAAACAAATTTATATTAATTTGGATTTAATATTTTACAAAACTCCAAACATTCAACATAAAAAACAAATCATTTTTTAATCATTTCCCCATATTGACATATTACAAAAAATGCAGTATGCTTAGTAACTAATCAAGATTGAGCAAAGAATATAACAGACTCCATCACCATAAGAATACATGTGACTTTAACTCTGATAATTTATGAGAAAAAGAAGTTGAAAATTTACCTTAATCATTTATTAAACAATAAACTTTATGATTCTCATCTTGATTAGATATAAATATAAATTAAAATAAAATTAATTTAACTCCTCAAATATTCTAAATCCCTCGAAAGATCTCCTTATAATATGTAATATAAAATAAGTAAAGATAAACTATCAATTTTACAAAAAATATTTTTATATCTAAGCAACAATAAGCCGTAATTTAAAGAACAAATCAACCTGAGTTTTAGGCGCAAAAGTAGAGAACATGGCATCATCGCCCAAACAGTGCGTCGTAGGATCAACTCTGAGGGCTTCGACTTCTTTCCATCGACTGCGATTTTCAGCTCCGATTCAACCGTCCATCCAATATATCATCATAAAACCCTACCTTCGCTTCACCTCCCTTCCGCCGCGCGGATCCGAAACGCCGGCAACCTCCTCTCGTCCACCAGACCGCCTGACATTTCCCACCCTCTCGATGAACGAAACATCTCGTCGTAGATAGATTCTGGCCTCCGCCCCCCTCGAGAGGAGAATTCGCCGGAGACGCCGGAGGAGAACGGCCGCGGAGGTCCCCCGAATACGTCGCGGAAGTCGTTGGGTCCAGCCTCGCACCGAGCCCACGCCTCCGGCGAGAGTCTTCTGTGGTTCGCCGCCGTGGGATTATAGTCCATTGGATGTCCCAAGATTCGTCCATTCGCCGGCGGTGGGAGTTTGGAAAGTTGAGGGAGCCCTCGATTTAATTTTGCTGTAAAATCCGACAGCGACTGACCCTTTAAATAGGCTGAGCAAATTGGGAATAATCTTCGCACAGTCTTATAGTTTGATGGATTGGGTACTCTTCACTCATTTTGAGTAAAAATAAGAGAAGCATTGGGTTCACATGTCACCCACATACCAATGGTTATGATTAGCTCATGATCAACGGTGTATTGAGTGGATACTAACAATCAGAAATAAACTGTTTAGTATTCATAACTACTATATATATTTATTCGCAATTCCTCAATACGTACGTGCGCAAACACTGAACCGTGCTTGCAACACGGGTAAAATTATGATATGCATCTTGAAGTGTGCAGTTAGAGCAAAGAATAATAAAGCCTCAAGGTCATCAGTTCGTGGAGGGCTGCGTTCAAAAAGTGTGTGGCATACTGGGTGGATATGACTAGGCGGTGTAAACAGTCAAGTTTGGTGAGTTTATGCCTATTTTCTCGGCTCGTTAGTTGGAAAATGAGCTCGAACTCGTGTCTCACTGAAACCAGCTTGAGCTGGTTCGCGAGCCAGGGCAGAAATTTAATTCTTTAAACTGAATTTTTAAAAATTAGCGGGATTTTTTAAAATTTATCAAATTATTTTTTCTTTAAAGTTTAACATTTAAATTAAAACTTAGGTGGTTTTTTATTATTTTTTAATATTTAAAATTAATAAATAAAATAAATATTTTAAAACATATTAATATGTATTGCCGACTCGCGAGCTAACGAGCCAAGAATGGCTTGAAGCTCAGCTCGACTCGTGAGCCGATAAGCCTCATTAGCGAGCCCATAATGAGTCGAGCTCGAGCCAGCTCGCGAGCAACTCAACTACTTACACTCCTAGGTATGACATCCCGATAATCATTCATGGATGGGCTTGGGCAGGAAAGCCGCTAATGTAGTGGAGAGCATGAGTACCCATGTAGGGCTTTGGTAAAAAATGTGAATGTTTGTGAGTATGCTCCTTTTGATATTTAAAAATTCAAATAATTTATATAATTTAATATAAAGTTTAATTTTCAAGATTGGAGAAATAAATTGTGATGATATAAATAATTTTATTAATTTTTATTATCATTTTACAAGGTCATATATAATTAAAATGCATGATAAAATACAATAACTGATTAAATTCAAATCTTTTTTAATTATTACCAAATTAGTTATGATTTCACATTATTTTTTTTTTGCAATTTTTGTTTTATAATATTTGTATTTAGTCATATGTTAAGACTTGTTTGGGACAACTTTCTATTTGTTTTTCTAATCATTTTTTGGTACTAATAATTTGAATTTAGAAATTTATACTAAAAAATTTGATTTTAAAATGTAACCAAATAATTATTCTCAATCAAGTTAAATTTAAAAAATTAAATATATTATATCTACTACAGACATTAAGTTTAAATTATCATATTTATTTTTAGACAAATTAAATATGTTATTAGTTGATTTTTTATTACCTTATTTCAAATAAATTCATATATAATATATA